TTTTTTTTTTTTTTTTTTTTTGTTAAATAAACGCGGAAGGGAGGGACGGAAAGGAAGAAACTACCGAGCAAACCCGCTCACTCGCTAGCCCAGTGCACAAACCTCTCACACACAACCTCCATTCCTTTAAAATAAAACTAAACTGCTCCCCTTTTGCAGGGACTGCAACTTTGATACTGTTGAAAACTTCCCAGCAGGATGCCGGAGTCTTATTTAATGCTCCGAGGCTTAGGGCCACAGGGAGTGGATCTTTTATTTCTGGAGGACAAAAGTTAGGGGTGGAGGAGCACGCGGTGCCAGTGGTCTGGGGCAGCTTCTCCAAATCCTCCCTGTGACAGAGTAGTCATCTCACCTCACCTCGTGTTAGTCATAGCCCAGTTTCCTCGTCAATAAAATGACGGTAATGAATCCTATCGTAAGGGTGACCCCAAGACTCAAATATGATCATATAGATGAAACCCTGCAAGGCGTCAAGCACTACAGACATAAAAGATGATTACTGATCTTCTTTAAAATTATATACAGTCGGGCTTGGTGGCGCACGCCTGTGATCCCAGCACTCGGGAGGCTGAGGCAGGAGGACCGTTGCGAGTTTGAAACCAGCCTGGGCTACAAAGTGAGCTCAAGGCCAGCCTGAATTGCACAGTGAGACCCTGTCTCAAAAATAATAATAATAAAAAATTATATGCAGATATAACAAATAGACCTAGCGGAGAGAAGCACTTTTTTCAGCTCCTGCACAAACCGTGCTCCCTGCTCCCCAGGGAGAACCATATTCAGCGCTGGCGGCCGCAGCTGGTCGGCCCTGCGGTCATGCTCTGCTCGGCCAGTAGCCGTGCGCCGCGGATGACACACACACCCGGGCTGTTACACGGCGCTGCCCGGCACCCGCAGCGGTACCAAGGCGGAGGGAGGCGCGTGTCCGCGGAGGGCAGGGCCGGACTGAGAAATTCCGGGGCCGAACCCTTGACGGGGACGGTGATCACCGCTACCGCTCATTAACAAACGGCAACACCGCCAAATCACGAGGTATGACCGATGACACCTCCTCTTCCCCGTTACGACTGTATGGGTACTTCTGGGAGACATTTAACTGCTCACAAATTTCTTCGTTCTTTTCTGGTACAGAAGCTTGTGTCTACTGGGCTGAGTAATCTCCAAAAGCACAAGCCTGGGACCCAAAGGGCCACACTGGGCCGGCAGAAGCCCGAGTCTGGTGTTTCTTCAAGCCCAGCGCAGCGCTGCGGAAGGGGGTGTAACTCAAGACTCCCGCAGGACCCCAGGACGCGCCCGGAAAAGCCCGGCCAGCCCCCGGAGGACCCGCGGTCCCGGAAGCAGGGGCAGCCGGCGCAGACTCCGAGCGCGTCGCCCGCCTGCGCACGCGCGCTCCTGGACCAGGGTCCAACCCCGTGGGGGGAGGGGAGGGGCCAGAAGGGGGCGTGGCCAGGGCCGAGGGAAAGGCCGCAGGGGCGGGGCGGGACCTAAAGGGAACCGCAAGGCCAGTTGGAGAGAGAAACGGAGGGTGGGCTCGAGAGCAGGCCTGGGGGACAGGAAGGGGACGTAACCATAGCAGGGGAGAATCTGGGGATGGGGCAGAACTAGGTATAGGCTGGAGAAGCCTGGAAGGCGGAGCGCGCTTTGAGGGGGCGAGCTTATTAGTAACCAGGCCAGACAAGCGGCTGCGCTTCCAGCCCGGGGACGGGCGGGGCGGGGCCGCGGCCCGTCCACAGGGGCAGGGGCGGGGCCAGGACTTAGGGGCGGAGCTATGGCTCCTGGCATAGCCAAATCCTGAAGGCGGGGCGGGGCGGGCGGAGCCGGGACAAGAACAGCCTCGGGGCAGGGGCGTGGCCATAAACTTAGGGGCGGAGCCATGGCTCCCGGGCGTGGTCAAATCCTGAAGGCAGGGCGGGGCCCGGACAGGGCCTGCCGCGGGGCAGGGGCGTAGCCAGGATGTAGGGGCGGAGCCATGGCTCCCAGGCGAAGCCGAATCCTGAAGGCGGGGGTGGGCGGAGCCAAAATTTAGGGGCGGAGCCATGGCTCCTGGCGTAGCCAAATCCTGAAGACGGGGCGGGGCCTGGACTGGCCAGCCGCGGGGCTGGCGCGGCCAGGACTTGGGGGCGGAGCCATGGCTCCCGGGAGTGGACAAATCCTGGAGGCGGGGCGGGGCCTGGGCCCACGCGCTGTACGCCGGCGTGCGCGTGGCAGGGCAGCGGCGATCAGAGGCTCTGCCCGGCCGCCTGCAGAGGCTGCAGGCCTAGCAAGTGCAGGGCTAGGCCGAGCAGGCCGAGAAGCAGCAGGAGCCCGAGCAGCATCCGCGGAAGTGTCCGCGCCGCGGAGGCTGGGGGCTGCCGGCTCGTGGACTGTATGTAGCGCTCCACGGAGTCGGCGAAGCTGAACTTGTCCGGCGTATAGCCAAGCTGAGCTCGGGCCTTGGCGATCTGGAAGGTGTGCGTCACGGCCACCGACAGCACCTGCGGGAGAGGTGGGGCGGCGGCCGGCTAGCGCGAGGGGTGAGCATGCTCCGCCTCGTTATTTAGGGAGAGGAGAGGGCAGAGACTGCCGCTCCGTCGTGGAGATTTGGAGGAACTCGGCTGCTGCGTCTTGTCTCTGCGATGCCCCAATTAGGGGGCATTTCCCGCTGCTCTTCGCTCACACATCCGCATTTCCTTGGGGGGTGACGCCTCAGGATGACTTCTGTACCTCTCCAGGCCCGCTGAACTCAGCCGTGTATACACAGAACTCCTGGTCGCTAAGAGGCAGAGGTGCTACCTCTGCACCTCCCGGCCTTAGACGGTGTGGACCTCAGGAGGCCTGGATGCCTACACTCTTGGATATTCCCTAGGAGAAGCTCAGCGTTCTGCCTGGGGTCTGCGTATGGCGCCTGGCAGGTGGTTCTAGCTTCCTCCCCTTAGCCCAAGACCAGCTGTGGGGTGGGCCTCAGGCACAGCCTCCAGCCCTCCTGGCTGTTAACTAAGTGTGCCTAAGAGAGATTCTCTCCAAGGTCTGAGTTGGATTTCTCTACCAGTTGGCCCGAGGCCTACTGAGTTCAAGGGTAATGACAGCTGTCAGTTATGGAGCACATACTCTGTTTGACCCGGCTAAGTCCTTTATATTTCTTACATCATTTTCTCCTCAGCAGCATTTCCTCTCTGCATATTAGGAAATTGAAGATCAGGGAGGTTAATGACTTGCCCAGGGTCACAGAGGAGCAGCCCATGCTAGCCTGTGTTCTTCACCCCCATGCTGAGGCCTGAAGATCTCCCACCTGCCTCATTCCGTCACCTCTTGTTCCTCAGATGAGCTCTGGGGAAGAGCCTGCTGGCTGCTTGAGTCTCCCACAGCACTGAAGCAGCCCCTGGGATCAAGCTGTCAGGCCCTGGTCTTGGAGAATTTAGTGGGAAAGGGAAAGGGGTCAGTTCTTGTCCATTTTACCCTAGCTGGTCATTTCAGGGCTTTGGGGAGTGCAGAAGTAGCCTTGTTCCAGCTGAGTTTATAGTCACCTCTGTTACTTGGCATATAATAGGTGCTCAATAAATGATGCATGGCTCTAAAATCAACCTAGAAGGCTGGTTGTTGTGCCACAGACTGACCAGCAGGGGACACATAAGCCACAGCCCTCAAAAACTTCCTCAGCTCATTAAGGATCCTTTTGTCACTGAGCAGAACAAGGAAATCCACGATTTAGACAAGAGGGTCAAGTCCCTGCCTGAGCAATTCAGTAGCATCTTGGCAACTACTTTGCATGGGTGGGATTCCTGCTGCATTTCACAAGCTCGTGGTTGAGTTTGGAATCATTTAGGGGAGCATGGGAACCCCAGTATCACCTGATTATTTCACTGTGTGTCTTACGTCCTCCTCTGTAATGGACATGCTCACAATGTACGACTCAAGAGCAGCAGTGACGATTAAACGGCCTGAAAGGACTGGGCCTAGCGGATCACCACTCAACAGAGGTCGCTATTGTCATCCTGCATGGCTCAAAGCAGAAATCGTAGGGGGCTGTGCCCGCTCCACCCCCTCAGGGAGCACTGGGTGTGGAGTCTGAACCTGATCCCGGTGTGGTTTGACCTTAGACAAGTGACTAATCTCTCCAACGGCCAGTTTCTCCTCATAAAGCGCAGGTCATAATATTTTTGCCTTCCCTAACTTAGCAGGATATCAGAGAATAAAGTGAAAGAGTGGGCTGGAAAGGGCTTTCCATATGACCCCAGACACCACCCGTTGCTTTACTGTTTATAATCTGCATTTAAAAAAGCCTCTTTTAAGCTGTATGTGCTAAGCAAATGTAAAACTGCATCATGACTCTGAGAGTAGCGAGATTAGCACTCTGTACCGCACAGTAGGTGCGCAGTACATACTTACTGTCTCGTACACGCAGATTAGGGACCTAGCGTCCCCGGGCCTAGAGCGTGTGTGCACGTGACTGCACAGAGGGTGATCGTGAAGATCACGGAGCTGCCTTTGGGAAGCTGAGCCGAAACACCAGCCACGAGGAGGGATGGACTGGGAGCTGTCGCCCTTCAGACCCAGGCGGCACCGCCTGAGCCAGAGCCCAGCAGTTGGGAAGGTTCTAAAGGAGCTGGCGCTGGACTGGGCCGCCTGGAAGGTCCCGAGAGCACAGACAAAGCGGGGAGAGGGCAGAGGGGCTGAAAAGGAAAGGAGCGAAGGGAGCCGTCCAGGGCCCACTTACCTCGCTGCGGGTGAGCAGCAGGGGGACGCTGCCGACCGGTCTCAGGGCCAGGTGCAGGTACTCGATCACGGCGGCTGCAGGGAGAGGGACCCGTGACCCGGGATCTCACTGCACGCAAACTTCAGGGAGGCCTTGAGGGTGGGCTAACTGGGGGCGCTATTTCCTTCTCTGGGGTCCCTCTAGAAAAGTCACTGGATTCCTTTACATCAGCAGCAAATGCTGGGGTGCCTGGCTAGCTGGGAAGTACATCCACAAGCCCCGCGTTATTACAGTAACGTTAAAGGACTGAGATCTGAGCAGATTCGGAGTTTCTTTGTGGTTTGTTCTACTTCCGGTACCAGGAATTGAACTCAAGACCTTGCTCTTGCCAGGCAGGCGCTGTGCCGCTGAGCTAAATCCCCAGCCCCAGGTTAGGAGTTATAAGTCCCTCTCCTATTCTACTGTGCTCCCTCAGGAGGGGCAGTTCGGAGCCGCGCTTCTCATCCTGGGCTGCACATTGGGCTTCCCTCCCACCGCGCCCTGCGGGCCTTGCTGTCGCGGGTCCTGGGGTGTGACCGAGGCTGATATTTTTATTTTCTGTTTTCAAAGGTCCAGGTGAGGCTAATGTGCAGTCAAGGTGGAGAAACACAGCCGTCGCCTGCACGCCAGGAACCGGAAGTGCACACACCATCCCTGCAGCAGCCCTCGCTGCGGCCCAGGGCCAGGCGCGTCAGTCGCCGCACAGGGGCTGTGCTGTGCACGAGAAGCCGCCTGAGCGTGTGCTCTGGGGAACAAGTGTACGAACCCTTGTTTCCACTGGCAACATCCCCGTGCCTTTAAAACACAGCAGATCTGGTCAAAGGGGTACCGGGAGCACCCCCACTGGTGACTCGAGGGCCACCCGTCCCCTGCTCCGGCCATGCCGTGCCAGGTGCCTGCTCTCTCCCAGCTGGAAGGGGGCGGGTGCTGGGGTGAGAATGGAGGGCAGCGGCGAGGACGCTGCGGTGGGGGTGGTGCAGACACTGACCTTCAGGGTGAGGAGGATCACCTAGGGTTAAAAATGGGGCCTTGGCACGTCCCAAAGCAGCCCTAACTTCAGGGTGACCCCCCCTTGGGGGACAGGCCAGCCCCAGGGCCCCTTCCCCGCTTGTCTGGCATGACGCCGGCCAGCACGGGAAGCGGAGCTGGCCATGCCCGGTATCCGAGCTGCTCCCCACTTCTCACCGCGGCACCGCAGCCGGGTCGCTGGTGTCTCAGAGCCTTGGTCTCCTCATCCTTACAATGGGCCAATCATGCAGGCCTTGCAAGTGGATCAGGGTTTAAACAAGGGTCAAGACCACGGCGGGGACCATGGTGCTGAGTGTTGGGGCCTGCGCCCCTCCATGGGCAAGGCAGGGCGTGGCAACTCTGGGCCTTGATCCCCATCTGCCTCCCGCTACTCCTGGCCCTGGGGGTCAGATCAGGTAAGCTTGCCTTTGAGCATACCTGTACCGGGTGGGCTTTTGCACACATGTGCCTTTCCTTACCTGTCAGGTAAACCCAGGAAGTAGGCACCTGGACCCAGGGCTGGCGGTGCCCCAGCTTCTCAAACTGCAAGGGAATATGGTCTGGATGAGCGTTGTCCAGGGGCTGGTGTGGAAAGACCACCTGTCTCTGTGACCCACACTGGCAGACTCCCCATTAGCCCACAGGAGCACCCCCGAAGCCAGCCCCAAGTCCGCACCAGTCTTGAAATCTACTCCTAAGTGTGTTTTGGTGGTGTGTGCCCTGGGATCATTCACATCATTTGATTATTATTTACATCTGCCCACACCTAAGGACACGCAGGCACTTAAATGGCATCTGGTTTGACCTTTCTACTAAGGGGGAGAGCAGCAAGTGGGAGAAGTGGCTGCCGAGGCGCGAAGGGGAGCAGGCTGGCACGGGCTGAACTGAGCTCCTCACTGCCATGAAACTCTCCAGGTCAAAAAGGCAGACCATGACAGGGGCTGGCAGGACAAGGAGAAACTGGAGCCTCCTGCACTGCAGGGGACACGAGCATACTGCAGCTGCTTTGAAAAAGAGGTTGGTAGCTCCCCTAAAGATTGCAAGCACAGAGCTACCTGCAACCCAACACCCTCCTGGGTGTATATCTAAGAGAACTGAAAACAGGTCCACACAAGTAGTCACTGCACACTATCTACAACAGCCCAAAAATGGAGAACCCAAATTTCCATCCGCTGATGGACAGGTAACAGGTGATATAGCCATAACAGGCAGTGTTTCGGGCAATTAAAAGGAATGGATACCAACAGGGTACATGCCACAGCACAGATCAAACCTGAAAACTAAGAGAAAGAAGCCAGACACACAAGGTCCCACACTGTACGTTTCCGTTTATAGGAAATGTCCAGAATAAGAAAATCTACAGACAGAAAGATCTGTGGCTGCTGGGGTTGGTGTTACTGGCTGCTGATAGGTACGGGTTTGTCGTGGTTTTTATGAGGATGATGACTTGTTTTAAAATTAATGATGGTGATAGTTGGACAACTCCGAATAAACTAAAAATCGCTGACTTGTATGCTTAAAATAGGTGAATTTCAAGGTTTGTGAGTTATATCTCCATAAACTTGTGATCTTAATAAAACAAACTAAAACTTCTGTGGGCTACCCGAGCTGGGAGGACAAAGGATCTCTTTTGCTGGCTACATCAGGCTGGCTTTGCCTTGTCTGGAAGGTGACTTTGCTTTTTTTTCGTTTGTCTTTTTTTCTGGTACCAGGAATCGAACTCACGACCTTACGCTTGCCAGGCAGGCGCTGTGCCACTGAGCTAAATCCCCAGCCCCCTAGAAGGTGACTGTGGGGAGTGTGTGAGCTGGAGGATAGGGCCTGTAGCCCAGGATTTCTGCTCCATTCCATCAAGGCAGGCCTGGCCCCCAGGAGGCGTCTGTGGGCGGCTAAGACAGGAGGCCAGAGTTGTCACAGGAGCCCAGGGGCTGAACCCCTTCCTTCGTGCTTTAGGCATCTTCGACATACCTCTTTTAGGGCCTCCACACCCAGGATGGTGGAGCACAGCGCAGGCTGGGGAGGTGGCTCAGTGAGAGAGCACTTGCTTGTGCTTAGCGTATGCAAGACCTTGAGTTCCATCCCTAGCTTGGCAAACAAAGCAAAGCAACAGCAAAACCCCCAGAGGGCTAGAAGCTGATACAAATCAGGGAGCAGGTAGTTCTCCTGTGAGCTCCTCTGATTGTCCCGGAAGTGGGGAAGGATGAGGGGGACAGAGACGGGGTTCGACACTCTCACTGTGAGGGGGGCTGCTGTCCAGACACCTACCAGCGGGGCCATCCACTCAAAGAGGTTGACACTCTCCCCGTCGTTGATGTAGTACGCCTGCCCACTCTGGGGGGACACGAGGGAAGGAGGACAGTGAGGCGACTGCCCGCCAGCCTGACCCCACCCCTCTGATGGCTTCAACCCCAGCCCTCGGGCCCAGGGACAGGCCACTGTACATTCTAGGGCCACCAAATTGACAAGCTTTGTGACCCAGATTAAGTCAATCAAGCTTTCTGTACCTGTTTCTTCATCTGAGAAATGGGAAGATACAATGGACTCTCCCTCTTGGGCTGTTTAGCTTGAACGTGACATCTACATCAATGCTTAGTATTTGGTGGCTGTTGTTTTGGAATCAGCACACCAACTTTGCGAGTCACCGTGAAGAGCTAACGATGCCTTCTGAAGGTGCCTCCACCCTCACCCCAGGGTCCCTGGCTGACAGTCCTGCCAGCCATGTAAAAGGAGGAAAGACATTGGGAGCGGGGCTGGGCCTCCCCGTGGGAGGGCTCACGGGAGACTCACAGCCGCGTAGCCCCGGGCCGCGGTGAGCGCCTCCGCGGCCAGCACGTGTGCCTGCACCAGGTTGCGCACGTGGACCCAGTTCATCCTCGCCCTGCGGTCCCCGAAGCGGAACAGGAACATCCTCTTCTTGATGTGGCTCTGGCGAGAGGGGAGCGCGACGGACGCAGACTGAAGCGGGGACGCGCTGGGCTGGGCCCCGCGTGCTCAGGGCGCCAGGCCTTCGCGCCCAGCCGGGGTGTCTGGTGCCCTCCCCCTGTCTCCACTCGGCCCGAGCGCCGTCCACTTTCCCACCTTTGCTCACCTGCCACACGCAACCCGTCTGCAAATCTGCTCGGCCATTTGCCCAGGACCCAGCCACTCCTCACCTGTGGGCTGCCACCCGCCTCGCGCGGGGCGCCTGAGCGTCATCCCTCCAGCCTCACCCCTGCATCTGAGCTCTGCACAGCTGGGGCATCCCTCAACCCTAAGCCGGAGACCAGGTCTCTGCTCAGCTGGGAACACTTCTGCCACGTGAAAGCTGGAGCTCTGACAATGGCCAAGACGCCCTTCCTGGTCAGGCCCCAGATACTCCGTGCCTCTGTCACCCGCTGACACCCCTCGGGTGCTCACTGCCACCGCCCCTCGGCCACCGCACTGCTCTAGACCACCTCATCTGCCAGTGACCCTGTAACTCAACGATAGTACCCATCGCCCAGGGAGAACTGAGGCCCCACGAGGCAGGAGTCACCTGGCGGTTCACTGACCTATCCTAAAACCTAGAACAGCCCTGAGCACACAGTGAGAGTTCAGTAAATATCTGTCACCCGAATAAATGGGGGACAGTCATTGAGGCTGACCCCCACCTTCCCTGAGAGCTTGGCCAATTTTAAAAATAAAAAATAGAGACAAGCCCTCGCAGAAGCTCACCCTTACACTGCAAACCAGAGCATCGTTCCCGGGGTAACTTCCCATGGCTCCCTAGGACCTTGTGCTTCCAGACTGGATTCAGCCTCAGGGACCTCTTGCTGCTTGCTGCCCTGACCAGGCACTTTCTCATTTCTAGTTTGTGCCCAAGCTGCGCCCTCCCTGGCCTGTCTTCTCCCGAGCACCCCAGCTCCCCGTGGACCCCTTCTGCTGGTTCCAAACAGGTTCCTCCGGGAAGCCCTCTGCCCCCCTATGCCCGGCCCACGCTCTTTTCCCGCTATACTGCCTCGCCACCCCAGAGCTGACGTGCATTCTGCCTCCCTGACTAGAACGTGGGGAATGCAAGGGCAGGGCCTGGAGCCCCGTGTAGCTATACTCCCAGCATCTTGCCTTTTTAGCAAGAGCTGTTCTGGAGACTCTGGTATGACAGGGGCCCCTAGCCCTCAGGGAGCTCACAGGTGAACGCAGGTGACAGATTCTGTCTCCTTGGGGCCACAGCTCCCTTTCCCCTCACCGTGCCAGGCCTGGCCGGCCCACACCAGGAGCTCCGATCCTGGCGGGCCTGAGGGGGCCATGCCTGGTGGGGGCAGGGGTGGCTCCAAGAGCCCAGGGTCCCAGGCCCAGGAAACTGTGCCCGCAGACCCACGCGGTCCCCAGGGGCTGGGGAGGTCCGATCAACGTGTGCATGAGCCTGGCTCCCTCTGCCTCAGGTCCCAGGAGGCCGGGACAACCCTACCGCAACTCGGGGCAGGTGTTTCTGCTCTTCAGGGCCGTAAATCCCCGGCGGCCGGAGGACACAGGTCCGAAGAGTTCCTCCTCCTAGGACACAGGGGAGTAGTCAGGGGCCGGGAGGGGAGCTGGCAGGGAGCGGGCGCACAAGGCCAGTGGTGCTTTCTGGCCCTTACTGAGTAGGGAGAGCCCAGTGTAGCCATCCTCTGCTGCTAGCACCCCGCCTTCCTTCCGGGAACTCCGCCCTTGCTGCACATGCCCTGCAGGGGGTGCTGTCAGGACGAGGCCTCCGGGTGCTCTCCCCAGGAGTGACTCTGAGCACCACTGCCAGCGGGACCCGAAAACCTAGGAGAGGGTCTCCCCAAGGAGGCTGGTCGTCAGCTCCCGCCAGCAGGTCCCTCGGGCTGCCCCAATCCTGGAGGTCACACTTTTGGAAGTCTTTTCCAGAGGCTATGCCACATTCCTCTTGTTCCCTTTTCCCAAGAAAAGTTCCCTTTTCCTAAGTAGTAAGCCAGGGCCGGTGTCTCCACGTTGTAATAAAATACCCAGACAGCTACGTCCCTCAACACCCTCACTCTGCGAGGAGGCCGGTGGAGGTGGGGAAATGGCGCCACCCAGCACGTCCATGTTCTAGAAACTGAAGGTCGACCTTATCGGAAAAAGCGTCTTCATGGCTGTATTAAGGGTCTCAGGTGAGATCACCCAGCTGAGCCTCACATCCCGTGACAAGTGTCCTTAGAGTGGACTCAGAAGAGACAGAGGAGAGGAGAGGATGGAGGCAGGGAGTGCGAGTCTGTGGGACCCGCCAGCAGCTGGAAGAGACAAGGAAGACCCCACCCAGCCTTCAGGGGGAAGCAGCCCGAGGACGTCCCAGAAGGCTCCCGGGTGCGGAGAAGGGACTCAAATGCTGTTTTAAGCCACCGCATTTGCGACAGCCACAGGACGCACACCGAGACAGAGCACACACGTGGACTCTACAGCCAGGACGTGGGGCCTCTCGCTTGGGACGACCCCAGGGACCAGCGCGGGTCACAGGGGTGGAAATCACCCCGGATGACCGCGCTGGTGTTGTGCTGGTGTCGGGTGAGCGGTTCTGTAAACAGCCTGTGGCTAAGTTTAAATTCTAGGTCTCTGGAGCATGGTGCAGGGAGATCAGGTTGCCACTGACAGTGGCTGGCAGGGCACTGGGCGGCCACGTCACAGAGGGGCCGGGCCCGGGGTATCCATGACTGTCCTGACCATGGAAAGCTGGGGGTGCTCGTATAAATAATTCTCAGCCGAAGGATTAGGTGGCTAGCTGCAGGCTGAGGTCTGGCCTGGCGGGGGAGGCTCCAGGTAGAGAAGCGAACTCAGCTGCAACGTCAAAACTGGGAAAACACAGCTGGATGTTGACCCCGGGACCATGGGTCAAGGCCTGACTGGCCCAGGGACAGTGGGCAGGGAAAGAGCCCACACCCAGGGACCTGCTCCTCTGCCCCTACCACACAGCACAGGGGGTGAGACCTCGGCTCCGGTGTTAGACTCCCCTAGGGTTCACATCCCGTCTCTGCCGCTTACTAGCTATGTGATCCTGAGTTAAGTCACTTAATCTCAGTTTTCCCCCCTGTAAACTGGGGCTTATAATTCAGGCATTTCTCCTGTCCAAAACCATGTGGCTCTCAAAGTCAGACAGTTTTGATAATAAAGGGAAACCCAGTGGTTTGACGTTTTTTCACTTCCTGAACTTCAGAAAGCTGGTAGTGACAATTCAGATAACAAGGCATTTATCCGGATGGATTTAGCTCCGGACTTTAGAAGGCAAGGATACCCAAGGTGCTAACTTCATAGGGATGCCGAGAAGCGTTAGTCTTTTGCATGACATTCACATGCAGAACTGGGCCTGGCATGAAGTAAGCCCTCAAGAAATGCGGATTACTTCTGTATGACCACAAAGGATAAGGCGTGAGGCAGTCGAGGCCTGTTTTCTGCAAGGTTTTTAGAGGTCAACTTTAAGGCCCCTCGCTTGTGTAGCTCTTCCAAAGAGCTACGGCATTGTCCACGTTTACATCGCTCTATTCCTTTATTTAAGGAAGGCTCTAAAACTGGATCCGCTCTCCCGAGACAGAAGAGAGGGCTAGACTTGGCTTAGCCTCAGTCTCTTCCCATTACACCATGAAGACCGTCAGGGCAGGGACAGACCTGCTCTTGCTGGCTGCACCCCTGGGAGGTGTTCAGTGTTCTCAGGGGTGAAAGACTAAGGGCCCCGAGAGCTGTCACTCAGAAGGAAGTTGGGCCTCAGGTGCTTGTTGGCTAAAAACTATAATCACCGCAGATTAGGAGGGGGCAGGAGTGAGCAGGCAGGTGTGCTGCGAGGAGGGCCCCCCAATACTCACCTGGGAGAGGTGTCCCGTTAGCCATCAGGGTCAACTGGTCCGCGATGGCTTTGGTTCGGGAGTAGTGGTCCATGTGCTGCCAGAGGACAGGGAGCAGAGCCACCAGCTGTGGGGAGCACTGGCCCACCCCAGCCTGGCCCACCCACCCCTTCCCCTCAGACCCTGTGCAGTGGACTCTAGGGCTTCTGGCTGCTTTATTCAGCCCAGTGCTGAGCCCCGCAGCCCCTCCTCTCCCCGGGGGGAACCCAGGGGATCTCCTTCACGGTCACCGCAGCAGAGGGGGCCCTGGGGTCAGAACAGTAAGACGGCCAGGGCCCCGGGCTCAGGGAGGCTCTGGGCAGCCCCCAGCGCCCGCCCTGTGAAGCGGATGCTGGAAGTGCCCGCGTGGCGTTAGGCAGGGGTGCACGGCAGGTCTGACTGACCTCAAAGCCCCTCCAGGCATGGCAAGATGAAACGGAAGTAGGCCGGTGCCACCAGCTTTGGGGATTCTTTGCTGCTGGGACTCACCCTGAACTGTGAGACGGACCCTGCCCTCCGCACCCCTACCCTCTGGGCTGTGGGCCCGGGGCCCGCTGGCCACGCCCACCCCTCCTGGAAGCGGGTACCTCGTCCAGGGGGAAGTACGGCACGGAGTCCTCGTCACCCTGCTCAATGGGCTTCCCGCCAAACGCCACGTTGACGGTGCTGGTGTAGACGAGCCGCGGGACCCGCCGGCGGACGCAGGCTGCGGCGACAGGCGCACATCGCACGCACAGACGCACACACCGAGGGCTGCGTGCGCCGTCACCGAGGAGGTGCGAGCCCTCCACTCTCCAGTGCCCAGCACGCACCCCAGGCCCGGGATGCGCCCAGTGCGGAGCTGCTCGGGGGGCGGGTGCTCCCCTTAACTTGGGATGCGGGCTGAGTCCCTGCTGCATGGCCCCCTGGGGACCGGGACTGCGCATTCTTCCCTCCCAGTGTGGCCTTGGCCCCTGAACTACCCTTCCGGGACAAGTGAGAGGAAAGTCTCCCTCAGTGGGGACATAGGAAACAGGCAATCTAGACTGAGAGCGGAGAGCAGTGCAGGACAAGGCAGGGCATCCCCAGGGGGCCTTCTGTTTGGGCACGGCAGGCGCTTCTCTCTCTGCCCCCCTAGGCCCTGAATGCCCACTCCACTCCCGGTCACACTGAGGAAGCCCGGGCAGGGCCTGGCAGCCCCACACACAGGGGCATGCCCTGCCCACAGGTCCTCAGCGGGGCAGGCACGGCCAGGGCAGGAGGCCCCGCCTCTGCCCCCCACCTCCTCCCGGGAGCCGGGCCTGTGGCAGGAGACGGAGAGGAGGAAGCACACAGCCGGGCACACTCAGGCCACGCTGGGCACCTACCGTCGATCACTAGTTTGGTGCCTCCGACATTTATAGACTCGATCTGCTCTTTTTGCAGCTAAAAGACAAGATGGAAGCAGGCGGTCATGATGTTGTCTCTTGCCATGTTGCTGAGGCCAGAGGCCAGGCACAGGGTCGGGCAGGGCAGGGGGCTGGCGGGCTGTCCAGTCGGAGGCAGGGGTCCTGAGGTGCCCAGTGGCGGCGAGGGCTCCCAGCTGGCTGCACCTGACCGTGGCTGCCTTCACAGTCACCGCAGCAGACAAAGTGAGGCCCGGGCACTTTGCTCTCAAAGCCTCAGTTTTCTTCATCTTGTAAGATGGACACAGGGAATCTGCTCTGGTGAGGGGCGAGGGTGTAAAGAACCAGAACAGGTCTGCAGTGACCTCTCCTAAGTGCTGGGGACAGTGCCAGCACATTTCAATCCCGATCTCACTCAGTCCTTACAACACCACTAAGAGGTGGGCCATTTATTCATTTAGTACTGGAGACTGAACTTAGGGCCTTCACTCTGAGCTACATCCCCAGCCCTTTTTAAAAATTTTTATTTTAAGACAGGGTCTTGCTAAGTCACTAAGTTGCTCAGCCTGGCTCAAACTTGAAATCCTCCTGCCTCAGCTTCCCAAGGTGCTAGGATTACAGGCATATGCAATCATGCCTAGTTTTTATGTTTATTTTTTTAAAATATATTTATTCTCATTGCAGTGTTTTTGGTTTGATAGGTAATATGACTACAGATTAAACAACTTCTTTTTCCCTCTACAGAGGCAAACACTGTTAACAGCATGTTTTCAGAGATCGTGTATGCTTATTAACATCTACAGAGCTGCAGGTGTGGTTCAGTGGTAGAGTGCATGCTTAGCTTGTGCGAGGCCCTAAGTTCCCTCCCCAGCACCAAAAAGAAAAAAGAAAGGCAGGGAAAGGAAGGAAAAAGACAAATCAGCACATAGGCCTATGTGAGTGCAGTATGTAAGTAATCACGCCCTACCTTTCTTCAAACAAAAACCAAAACAGGACACTAAACACTGTTTTGTACCTTGTATTGATTCACTCACAATGTATTCAAATAGTCCCCAAATTATGGATGTTTAGATTATTTTTAGTGTTTTGTTACTAAAAAATAATGCCATAAATATACAAATCAGTGTAATTTCTTTTTCCTTTTCTCCTTTTTCTTTCTTTCTTTTTTTTTTTTTCTTTATTTTTTGGAACCAGGAGTCGAACTCAGGACCTTACGCTTGCCAGGCAGGTGCCATGCTACTGAGCTACATCCCCGGCCCTCTTCTTTTTTTTAAAACCAATTAATGAAGACCGAACCCAGGACTTTGGACTGAGCTACATCTCCGGCCCACTTTTCCATTTTTGAATTTCGAAACAGCTACATTACCCAAGCCAGCCTCCAACTTTTGATGCCCCCTGCCTCAGCCTCCCGGGTGCTGGGATGAAAATCCTGCAGCACCATGCCCAGCTAGTCAGCCAAGTTTCTGAGTCGGAGGTGTACGTGTGCTTTTATGCGATACAGTCACACGGTTCTGTGAAAAGTCTGTGGCGCAGGGAGCGCGCCGTGCGCGCTTTTCAGATGAGGAATGGCAGGCTCGCCTAGCTCAGCTGCCTAGGTGACAGAGGCTAGAAGCGGCAGAACTGGTGTTCGGTGTTGTGGTTGCAGACGGCCAGCTAGGAGGGGCCCAGAGTCTCCCCGGAGGAGGAGAAGAGCAACCAGGAACATCGGGGCACAACAGGCACAGCCTTGATGTGAAGCCCGTGCTCCCAACTCCAGGAGCGAGTGTGGGGGCCTCACCTTCTCAGCACCGGACATCCCGTAGGAGGCCGCGTGGAAGACACAGTCCACCCCCTCCAGCGCGCGGTACAGGGCGTCTTCGTCTCGGACGTCAGCCTGAAGCAGAGAAGACAGAGGTGCCGGAGGAGGCTCAGGTTCGAAGCAAACTGCGATGGTAACTCTGCACCCTGCCCAGTCCCAGCGATGGCCCCGACCCCACTCAGACCAAGCATGCAGGGCTCAAGAGAGACCAGCAGGGGTGAGGACACCAAGGCTTAGGGAGGTGGAGCCTGGGACCACGGCTGCCCAGGTGGGAGGAACGGAGGTCTGGCTCCTCAGCCTGGGATCTTAAACTCCACCTCTGGTTTCACATACGACACTGTTCCCTGCCCGTCACCGCCAGCCTCTGCACCTGGATGAACTCGGTCCCCGGGGACAGCTCCCACCGGGGTCTGCGGAGGTCGAGCAGGATGACAGCTGTGCCGCTCTTGGCCAGGCTGGACCCCAGACTGAAGCCCAGGTAGCCGCCTCCTCCTGTCACCAGCACCTTCTGCCTGGGGGCCTGTGTGGATCTGGCTTGAGTCTTCTGCTGCAGTGCCGGTGCTGGGACTGTTGCTTCACTGAGCCTGGGGCCAGATCCAGAGCCCCGTCTGGCCACAGGGCCTACTCCCGGCCCAGGCGCTGGCCCAGCCTCTGGTGCAGGTAACGGGGCTGCTCCTGGGTCAGCTACTGACCCAGCCCCTGGTCCAGGTAACGGAGCAGCTCCTGCACTGGGTACTGATCCAGCTGCCGGCCCAGCTGCTAGAGTAGCACCAGGCCCAGAAACAGCACCAGGGCCTGGTCCAGACCCCAGAACATCAGTGGGCCCTGGCCCAGGCCTTGGCACCATACCAGGCCCTGGCCCTGACCTAAAGCCAGAGCCAGGACCTAAGATCCCTCCCCAGGCCTGGCAGACAGGGCAGCTCTTCTCGCCCTGGCCTGCAGCTTTGCAGATCTCTGGGGAGGAGCCTGTGGGGTTGGGCTTCATCCTCTAGAGAGCCATGCAGACCAGAAACCGTTGACCTGTGGAGAAAAACAAGAATGTTTTAAAGTTGTCTCAAGTCATAAAGATTATCAGACACCTAGAACTGAAGGGAATTCCAGGCGGAAATTAGAGACCCACCAAACTCCCTGTGGACTTGACTCTTTTGCAGCCTCAAGAACCTCCACAGTAAGCCAGGTGTGGAAGGGCACACCTGTAATCACAGTACTCTGGGAGGCTGAGGCAGGAGGATCACAAGGTTGAGCCAGGGTCTTGCCAAATCACTAAAGTGCCCAAGCTGGGTTCAAACTCACAATCTTCCTATCTCCCTTCCAAGATGCTGGTTTACAGGTGAGCACCACCATACCAGGCGGCAAGGTCCTTAAAATTTTCCCTGCACTGCAGTATCCGCAGCTGTAAGACGGGCCTGCCTTGCCCGGCTGCTGTCTGCCTCCCAGGGTAGCCCTGAGGTACCAAAGAGCTATGTGAAGGAGACCGCGAGCTGTGTGGGGGTTGTGCTGGCTGCGGCGTCCTCAGCACCCAGGACAGTGCCTGGGTCGCCCCAGGGGCTGAACGAAGTCCGCGCACTTGTCGGCGGTCAGGAACACCGGGCGAACCCCTGCGGCTGCGTTCATTTTTCCCGGCCGTCCCCGGGTGGGAGAAGCCAACGTCCCCGTCATCCGCAGTGGAGACCGAGGCGCAGGACACACGAGGGAACTGCGGTGGGAGTCACCCAGAGCGCAGCCGAGTCCGGTCCACGGGACCCCAGGGCGGGAACGGGTGAGCCCCGGGAGGGCCAGGCTTCGGCCTCGGGCGCGGGAGGCGGCCGCGCTCCTCACGCTGGGCGGGGAGCCCGCGTCTCCTTTGCCTTCTCCCGGCTGCTCACCCGGCCCGCGCTCAGCCGGCCCCGCTCAGCCGGCCCCGCTCACCC